ATGTATGACTGTTTATGCGCTTAATTGCCTAGTTGCAGGAACGTCCGTATCTCTCAAGGCCACAGGTGGTTGCTGGCGGGTAGTAGCTTGGGTGATCTCATGGCATTATCCATGAGAAGCAGTATGTTATGATTAAGTAGGAACGTTGCTTCCCAGGCTCAATGGCGCGCGCAGGAAGTCCCGCAATTGGGCCTCAGCTTTTTGAATTTACTATAATCTATTGGGATCCATGTTTATGCCTCATTCTGAACAGTGATCCTGTTATGCACCTATTGCTTCAAATAAAGGAAAACCTTTTCTACAAGTGTGTTCTTCGTTGATGCGATGGGAGTCTGACACACAGCAGATTCATAGTGAACCCCCCCCCGTGAGGTTTTTGAGGCAAGATATATGCAGAGGTGGTTTGCCATTGCCTGCCTCTGCAGAATGAGCCCGGACGTCCGTGGTGGTTTCCCATCCAAGTACTAACCAGGACTAACCTTGCTGAGTTTCTGAAATATGATAAGATCTGGCTAGCCTGGGCTATCCAGGTCAAGGTCTTCAACTACCGTAGAAGTGTTATGCAAATGACCCAGAGGTGTAAACCTGCCTCATTCCCATAATTTATGCAATTCACAGAATCCCGACTTTTCTACTGGAATGCCTCCAGCCTTGTGAGCTGCATTTACAGGAATACCAGAACACGCCCCCCCAAACGCCCAGGCTGCAAATATGAGCAGGGGAATTTTGCAAGCTCTTAGGCCTCTGTTCTTCTGAGAACAACAACATTTCATTTATTCCATAATAACAGGCTTGCAAGATTATACAACACGTTAGGTCATCAAACAGGATTAAGGATTTCACATCCAAAAGGCGCCCTTTGTTCAGACTGGCATCCTCAGATGGTCTCGTCTGGCACTACGGCCCTTCAGTTTCAGAGAGCTGCACTTTGAAATAATCTGAGCAGAAGTTTCACAAGTTGCTCATCATCTCCCTAACTGTCCTGTCATCAACAAGTTGCCCCGTTGGATCCAGCCCGCTGCTTCATCTCACAGGGCTGCTCTATCCATTATGGATTTCCTGCTCACAAGTCCCTTCAGGGCAGGAAACCATCAGCTGCATAGGTTTACAGCAGGGGGAAGAAACAGTGTGTAAGATGATGACACAGGAAGGTGCCTTCCAGGTAGGAAATCTGTAGCCCATGTTACAGCCCAGAACTAGATGTTATCTTGGCAACCACACCTAGCCAAGTCGGCAGACAAAGGTAATATAAAGATGAAAGACTGACGGTAGGAGGGAGGGGGGCAAGGGTTAATCCTTTCCACGCTAGCTGACTTTCAGAGTCCATTGGGGAGAAAAGAACTTCAAATAGTTAGGGAGGTTGGGTTGCTAACTACGAGTTGGGAAATTCCTGGACATTTGGGGAGGAGAGAGATCAGCAGGGGTGTGATGCCATACAGTCCACCCTTCAAAGCTGCCACTTTCTCTGGGAGAAACGATCTTGGTCATCTGCAGATCAGTTGTGATACCAGGAACAACTCCCCTCCTGGAAGTTCGACGTAAACAAAAAAACAGCTGTGATATTATGCAATCTATTCAACAATTATCATCAAGCATTTATATTATGGTAAGAATTACAAGACACATTCTAATACAAAATATACAGAGATTTAAAGCAGGGGTGTCGAACTCATTTGTTATGAGGGCCGGATCTGACATAAATGAGACCTTGTTGGGCCAGGCCATGTGTGTCATAAGATGTAATGCCAGGTAGTGGAGATATAGACTTTATAAAGGACACAAACACACTTTTTAAAACTTAAAATAAAAACATGCTTAGAACATTAGCACTCTTGCAATATTTTGTTTATTTAATAGTATCTGGGCAACTGCGGTGACTCAAGTGGTTAAGACGCTGAACTGCAGGCTGTGGAAGGTCGGTAGTTCAGCAGTTCGAGACCCGAGTGTGCTGCATGACGGAGTGAGCTCCCATCTCTAGTTCCAGCTCCTGCCAACCTAGCAGTTCGAAAGCAAGACATTGCAAGTAGATAAATAGGTACCGCTTCGGTGGGAAGGTAACAGCGTTCCGTGCGCCTTGGTGTTTAGTCATGCTGGCCACATGACCACGGAAACGTCTTCGGACAGCGCTGGCTCTTCGGCTTTGAAACGGAGATGAGCACCGCAACCCTAGAGTCAGATTCGACTGGCTTTCGAGCAAGGGAACCTTTACCTTTAATAGTATCTGATAACTGACACCTCTTGCTCTGAATTATTGCATCAAAATATCTGCGCTGTTGCAAGCTGAGTATGCTGTTCAGGTGTGTATCTGTAGGCTGCAAACCTACTTTTGATTTATTGACATTCACCACCGAAATCTCATGCTCAGAGTTCTGAGTCTAGGACCCAGGGGAAAACATGAAATGGCTGAGCAAATTAGAGCATCTGGTGAAGTAAGTTATGATGCAGCAGCAGAACTGGCTGCTGGCCAGTTCCAGTGCGGGCCTGATAGAAGCCCTCTGGGGGCCTGATCCGGCTCCCGGGCCGCATGTTCGACACCCCTGATTTAAAGCATCCTGGCAAACCAAACTGTCCGTGCTCAAAGTGGCTTTACACAGTCCTCCTTTGACGTAGAGGTAAATTATTCCAAATATCTGATCATCTGTCCTGGCTCCGACGGGCCAGCTCCACATCCACGTTCAGTCCTTTATCAAGGTACTGGCAGCAGTTGAAAAAGTTTTTTTCTTCTCTGCTTATTCAGTCTGTTCTGAAGAGTGTTTTACACTGCAGCCCTTGAAATCTCTGTTTACATTCAACGGAGAGAGCAGGCAGAGTGGAGTGGCTCAGAATGATGAATCAGGAAGTCTTTGTTTCAAATGTGCTAGCGGGTCATGATTGCTTTGTGCATGCAGTTTTCTACTGTTGACGGGAGAGAACACCTGGGAGCAGAAGTCTCTAGAGTGGGCCCTGTTTGTCTGGTGACTGTCCTTAGTAAAAATATTTTGGAACAGCACTTTGGTTTTAATTTTATACATACACACACATATATACACACACACACACTGAGATATGTTTGTTGTTGTTGTTGTTCAGTCGCACAGTCGAGTCCGACTCTTTGCAACCCCACATCACGCCAGGCCCTCCTGTCTTCCGGTAACACTGCCTAACCATCTCATCCTTTGCCGTCCCCGTCTTCTTTGACCTTCAATCTTTCTCAGCATCAGGGTCTTCTCCAGGGAGTGCTCCCTTCTCATTGGGTGGCCAAAGTATTTGAGCTTCAGTTTCATTATCTGGCCTTCCAGGGAACAGTCAGGGTTGATTTCTTTTAGGATTGACTGATTTGATCTTCTTGCAGTCCAGGGGACTCTCAAGAGTCTTCTCCAGCACCATAGTTCAAAAGAACCTATTCTTCAGCGCTCGGCCTTCCTTATAGTCCAACTCTCACAGCCATACATGACTACTGGGAATACCATTGCTTTGACCATGCGGACTTTTGTTGGCAGGGTGATGTCTCTACTTTTTATTAGGCTGCCTAGGTTTGCCATCCATTTCCTCCCACACATAGATATAGACACACATATATAGATATAATATATATACACGCATATATCTATGTTGTTGTTCAGTCGCACAGTCGAGTCCGACTCTTCGCGACCCCATGGACGAGCTCTCTCCAGGCCTTCCGGTCTTCTGCCGTCCTCTGAAGTTGGCTCAACTTCATGTTCGTTGCATCGATGACACTGTCTAACCATCTCATCCTTTGCCGTCCCCGTCTTCTTTGACCTTCAATCTTTCCAAGCATCAGGGTCTTCTCCAGTGAGTGCTCCCTTCTCATTTGGTGGCCAAAGTATTTGAGCTTCAGTTTCATTATCTGGCCTTCCAGGGAACAGCCAGGGTTGATTTCTTTGAGGATTGACTGATTTGTTCTTCTTGCAGTCCAAGGGACTCTCAAGAGTCTCCTCCAGCACCATAGTTCAAAAGAATCTATTCTTCGGCGCTCGGCCTTCCTTATAGTCCAGCTCTCGCAGCCATACATGACTACTGGGAATACCATTGCTTTGACCATGCGGACTTTTGTTGGCAGGGTGATGTCTCTACTTTTTATCATGCTGTTTAGGTTCGCCATCGCTTTCCTCCCAAGGAGCAGGCGTCTTTTAATTTCATGGCTGCAGTCACAGTCTGCGGTGATCTGGGATCCCAGGAACGTGAAGTCTGTCACTACTTCCACAGCTTCCCCTTCTATTTGCCAAGGAGTGATGGGGCCGGATGCCATGATCTTAGTTTTTTTGATGTTGAGCTTCAAGCCCACTTTTGCGCTCTCCTCTTTTACTCTGAGCAAGAGGTTCTTTAGATCCTCTTCACTTTCAGCCATTAGAGTGGTATCATCTGCATATCTGAGGTTGTTGATCTTTTCCCCAGCAATCTTAATTCCCGCTTGTGATTCATCCAGGCCAGCATTTCGAATGATGTACTCTGCATTGATATCTATATATATCAATTAATCGTCTCCAGACACTATTTATATATGCAAGCTTAGATTCAGGTGGGTAGCCGTGTTGGGTCTGAAGCGGCAGAACACAGTTTTTGAGTCCAGCAGGCACCTTGAAGACCAACAACCTCGAATAAAACTTTGTAGAGAGAAACTTCTTCCTGGCGCTGTGGAGACTCTCCAATACGCGCATGCGCGCACACAACCTTCTGCCTGCGGACCGTGAGCAACCCCCCCCCCCGAAGGGCGGCATAGAACGAGCGATGGCGCAGGCGCACTCCCGCCGGCTCGCCTCAGAAAAGGAACTACAACTACAAAAGCGGAGGCGGAGTGCGCCACGTGGGAAACCCCCGACTCTTCAAACAATAACGTCGGCCGGGTGCGTTCCCTTTTCTCACGGTTGGGTTTTTTCTCCCCCCTTTGACGCGGATGCGCGCGCATCCGTCCGTCGCCCGTTAGGGGACGGTTGCGGCGGTTGGAGGGGCGGGTCCTCTGAGGCCCGCCTCCGGCGCGGCCCCGCCCCTTCCGCCGCCGCCCCGCCCCTCCCCGCGCGCTCTCTCTCTCGCTCGCTCTCTCTCCCCGCTCGGCTGCGCCCGCTGTCAGGGCGGCGGCCGCGATGTCGGACAAGGAGTTCATGTGGGCCCTCAAGAACGGCGACCTGGACGAGGTGAAGGACTATATTTTATATTTAAGGTATATCTAAGGTACATGAATGTATGCTGTTAGCCGACCTGAGCCTTCCGAAAGGCAGGGACTGCGGAGGATATAAATGCAAATAGAAATAAATACATTAAAAAAAAAATAGCTGGTCGTTGTAGAGGGGCTGAAGGTGGGGGGGGCGGGGGGAGAGGAGAGAAGGCGGAGGCCAGGAGTACAAAAGCGTGTGGGCCGATTAGGGTTGCCAGCAGAGTCGGGAGGGAAAGGGAGGGCGAATGGAGGATTATGCTAGCTTGCAATGCAAAAAAACCGTTCCGCTCCCCTTTAACACACGGTGGACCCTCTCTGAAAGGCGCAGGGTCGCCCCCCCCCCCCGCTGACGTAGCTAGTGGCCACCTCTGCCCCAAAGGAGCATAAGAACAAAAGAGAGAGACAGTGTTGGATCAGGCCAGTGGCCCCCTCCAGTCCAACACTCTGTGTCACACAGTGGCCAGAAATACCAGGTGCCATCAGGAGGTCCAGCAGTGGGGCCAGGACTCTAGAAGCCCTCCCAGTGTTGCCCCCCCCCCCAAACACCAAGAATACAGAGCATCACCTAAGAACATAAGAGAAGCCAATGCTGGATCAGGCCGATGGCCCATCCAGTCCAACACTCTGTGTCACACAGGGGCCAGAAATACCAGGTGCCAAAAGGAGGTCCAGCAGTGGGGCCAGGACACTAGAAGCCCTCCCACTGTTGCCCCCCCCCCAACCACCAAGAAGACAGAGCATCCTTTGCCCCAGCCTATGAGTACCAGGGTGTCTGTTGTGGGGAGGGGAAGGGAAAGGAGTTTGTAAGCCGCTCTGAGACTCCAAGTGAAGGGTAGGGTATAAATCCAATCTCTTCTTCTTCTTACATAAGAACATAAGAGACGCCAATGTTGGATCAGGCCAAAGGCCCATCTAGTCCATCACTCTGTCACACAGTGGCCAAAAACACCAGGTGCCATCAGGAGGTCCACCAGTGGGGCCAGGACATTAGAAGCCCTCCCACTGTTGGCCCCCTCAAGCACCAAGAAGACAGAGCATCACTTGCCCCAGAGTCCCTATCTATACCTTGTGGCTAAGAGCCACCGATGGACCTCTGCTCCATATGCTTGTCCAATTCCGTCTTGAAGCCGCCCATGCTTGTGGCCACTGCCACCTTCTGTGGAAGTGAATTCCACCTGTTAATCACTCTTTGGGTGAAGAAGAACTTCCTTTTATCCGTTCTAACCCGACTGCTCAGCAATTTCATGGAGTGCCCACAAGTTACACAAACATTGACAGGATTATTAAAAAGTCTGAAATCATACAGAATGTCTAATGGAGCAGGCTCTGCCTATAAGAACATAAGAGAGGCCAATGCTGGATCAGGCCAATGGTCCCTCCAGGCCAACACTCTGTGTCACACAGGGGCCCAAAACACCAGGTGCCATCAGGAGGTCCAGCAGTGGGGCCAGGACACCAGAAGCCCTCCCACTGTTGCCTTTGTAATTATAGGTTCATGTCTTAGAGACCAACAAGATTCCCCTAGTTCAGTGGTTCCCAACCTGTGGGTCGCGACCACTTTGGGGGTCGAACGACCCTTTCACAGGAGTTGCCTAAGACCATCGGAAAACACAAATTTTCAATGGTCTTATGATAGCAATGAAAATAATTTTATGGTTGGGAGTCACCACAACATGAGGAACTGTATTAAAGGGTCACGGCATTAGGTTGAGAACCACTGCCCTATAGTTGGTCTCTTAAGGTGCTGCTGGGGTCGAATCTAGCTGTTCTACTAAAGAACACCACAGCCATCCTCTGAAACGTGGGTGTGGACTTCCGTTAGGGAAAACTATCGATCCCTCCCATGGGGAGGGTGGGGTAAAAATCTAATCAATAACCAAATAAATATGAATAAAACTGGTTTTATAAAAGCCTTCATTTCTTCTTATCCCTGAGCCTTTACGCTTTGGTATGCACATTTTTTCCCCTTAACGTAAACCATTTTGTTCTCTCTGTTGGCTCTCTGCACTGTCTTCTGAAACTGTCTTTGTATTTGCAGGTAGGCTTGCTTAAGCCTGAGCCCACTGTGCTCAGTGGGGATTACTTGTGAGTAATTGTGCACAGGATTGGGCTGGGGGGGGGGAGAAATTCCAGGGTGGTTGCTGTATCCCATTGCAGTTCTGTGCAGGTTTGCTCAGAAGCAAGCGTGAGTCAGAATTACACATACTCCCAAGTAAGTGTGTAGGCATGTACTGTTAGCCTGTTCCAGTAAACCCTATATGGAGTCTCATGGCTCCTTAAAAGGCTGAAAGATTGATTGAGATGATTTCTTTTGTGTGGTTTGTTACATACAAGAAGCATATCTTATATTTGCAGATGTATATGAGAGAGTGAATGTGGGGTGGGGGCCATTTTGCTAGGGGCAGCTTGGCTTGTGAAGAGTGTGGAAAACTTCTCCCGTCTCTCTGAGACAGCTATAATGTATAGTGGTTTATAAACTAATGCATGCTGTATAGGAAATAAAGAGCGCGAATTGTTTTCCGCCTCAGTGCTGTAAATGTAGGTCATCCATAATAAACTCAATTAGCAACAGGTTCAGGACAGCCAAAAGGAAGTTCTCTGTCATGTGTTGCTGCCGTAAACTGTGACAGCTTCCAGGTTAGAAGATTTTTGAAAGGCATGAGATTTGTGGAGGTGGAAAGTGTTATGTGGACTAAATAGAGCATTCATATTTACAGTTGGTATGCACCTAGGTGCCAGGTTCCCTGAAGAACGAAATGTCCTGTCCCTTTAACAGAGCCTCAACGGGGTTGTTATTTACTAGGTGATCTTATTTACCTCCTTGTCATGAAATGGTTCCACTGTCAGTTTCCACACATTAAGCCTGGAGAAAAAATGCCCTGTCCTGTTTCGTCTCCTCATTTGGTCTTTATTTCCCCCGGGGGCTTTAAAATATAGTTCAGTGATCTGTCTGCCTTCTCTCTGCATCTTTGAAGTATGCTCCTGAATTTATTAACATGCTTGATGTGAGAGAATATTGCAGTTACGTATTGTTATGGAAAAGGCATTATGCTCGAGGGTGTTTCCTTCAGGACTCGGCCCTAGTGCTTGCAGACAGACTTCTGAGAGAGGCCCTGGTGAAGTCTTGGTGCAAAGCGAGCAGTTAATTATTCCAGAGGCAAATTCTAAAGGGGCAGCCATGTCACTCGGCTAAGGCAAAGCTGAAAGGGGCATTTTGTGCCCCCTTAAAGTTTAACAGGCCAATCCTAATCAGGCACAAACCTCCAAAGGAAGTTTAGAAAACTTATTGAGGGCCAAAAGTTAAAAACATAAGTAAGTGTGCAAAAGAGTGTTTATTACAAAGACATATAAAAACCTAGTAGGGGCCCAAATGAAGCCTCATAAAATGTACAACGTTACAAATACACACAAAAGAGAATAGTGTATGACCTGACGCGTTTCGGCTCACAAGAGCCTTCCTCAGAGAAGCGGCAGGAAGGCAAGGGACAAGTGGCAGAGCACTACACTGATCACCCCGGTGCTCCTTATTGCGATTCAGAATCAGACTCTCACTTCAACGTCTCCTTCCATAATTGGAGGGAACTGTGTGCTGACCAATGCTCCCGCTAAGCTGTAGAGTCTTGTGACCAAAAATTCTACATTGTGAGCTACTGGCATTAAAGTTGTGAGCTTGCAGTTTGGCTAATGCATAAATCAGTTTGCTCTGGAGCCCTCCTTCCCGAGCTAAGACAAAAGTGTCTGAGCCGGAGGCTAAAAAAACGTGAGCTAACTCACACTCACCCAGCTTGGAGAGAACACTGGTGCTGACCATCTGTTGCAACAGTGTCATGAAGATGTTGACACTGTCAAAACTGGTGGCGGAGTTAGGTAGACTCTGGGTCTAACTGCATTGTGTAGAAAACAGCGCTCCACTAGCTGGATTTTAAAAAAAAAATCATCCCCTTAGTTGTGCTGTCCGTGCATTCCCATTGTTCTTGCGTATCATGTCTGCCGTTCTTTGTGACCCGTGCGCCCTGGCGCTAGAGCTGCATCGCAACGGACCCTATCAATTTCCAGGTCTCAGTAAGGCCTCATAATATCTGTGTCCTTCTGATCAGCTTTCCATAGAAGGTGATTGTTGCAACTCTCCATAATCCTTCCCTCCTCATAACGCTTTTCTTCCCAGTAGTTTTCCAAGCCCTGTCCTTTTTTCCTTCCCTCTCTCTGGCTCTCCAGGACCGTTGTTTACAGGCTTTGTGCTTGCCAGCACATCCACTGGCTACTGTTCTGGCATCTGCGACTGTGTGGGGTAGGCGTGTGGGAGTGCAGAGTCTCTGCGCATTGAAATGCCCTTTATGAAGGCTGAATTCCAGTTAAGAGAACATGGCCATTAATTTTCCTTCGTTCTGCGTAACTTGGGAGTGCTGTCGGTGCTGGATTAAGGTGGGGATTGTTCCATTATGCTGTGATAAATAGGAACTCTCAGTCTGGGGCAAGTGATGCTCTGTATTCTTGGTGCTGGGGGGGGGCAACAGTGGGAGGGCTCCTAGTGTCCTGGCCTCCCTGCTGGACCTCCTGGTGGCCCCTAGAATTTTTGGCCGCTGTGTGACAGAGTGTAGGGCTGGATGGGCCATTGGCCTGATCCAACATGGTTTCTCTTATGTTCTTATAGAAGGAACATTCTGTCATGGGCTGGAATGCAGGCACAGCGAGCGAGGGATAGTCCAAGTCCACACCAAAGTCAAAGCCGAGGGGTAGCGAGACAGGAACCGAGTAACAGAGTCCAGAGCACAAACCGAGAGCATAGTCGGCAAAGCCGAGGTCGAAGAGCCGAGAGATCAGAGCACGGGTCAGGAACTGGAACACGGGCAAGGTGGGTGCGGAAGTGTTCGTCAAGCCGACTAGTTGATGGCACAAAGAACTAGCATGGAATGGGGAACTAAATACCCCTCAAGGCTGCTGTCAATTAGCGTTCAGCGCGTGGATCCTGGAACTCAGGGCTGAGGGACTGCCTGCCGTGCACCCCTTTGCTGGGATGCTAAGTCCTGATGAAGCCGGCTCCACAGACGTGCCACCTGCGGAGGGCGCGCCTCCCTTCGCTGGGATGCTAAATCCTGATGGAGCCGGCTCCACAGACGTGCCACCTGCCTTCCATGCATCATTCCTCCTCAGCTGTTGCTGGGACAGGCGGTAAGGATGCACCGACGGGCTCATCAGGAACAGGCATAGGTTCTGCCGAGGCTGGGAGCTCATCCTCAGCAACATTCATGTCACATTCTGTCTGGGGCAGTGATGCTCTATAGTGGGTTCCGCCGAGGCCGGGAGCTCACCCTCAGCAGCACTCATGACACATTCTGTCTGGGGCAGTGATGCTCTGTATTCTTGGTGCTTGGGGGGGCAACAGTGGGAGGGCTTCTAGTGTCCTGGCCTCCCTGCTGGACCTTCTGGTGGCCCCTGGTATTTTTGGCCACTGAGTGACAGAGTGTTGGACTGGATGGGCCACTGGCCTGATCCAACATTGGCTTCTCTTATGTTTTTATGAACACTTCAACACTGAAATTCCTGTGTGATGGTTGGGATGAGTTTTGGGACTCTGCCTGGCCAAGCACGTGTCCCTCAGTCTCTGTGTGAATGGCGATACTGGCTAGTGGAAGACCGGCAGCAGCCCAGTCCACTGTTCACAGAGTCACATTCACTAGCATCACTCTTTAAAAGCTTCCATAAGGCAGTATACCCAGCTCCAGTCGTGTTTTCTTTTCCTCAGGAAAGTGACCCCTTAGCCTCTGCTCTGCCTAATTGTACGACAGAAATATGTTCCTAAGTCTGCTTGTCCGGTTTGTTCAGGTAGCCGGGATTGACGTGTTGAGGGATCGTCTTTCTGTTTTCGTCCTTTCCGATGGACTTTAAACATCCTAACTCCCTCACCCCTCAAGTCTTTAAGAATCCCAATCCCCCAAATGTTTAAACCTTTCTCTGGAAGAAAAGTTACACTTCCTGTTATCGTGGAAACATTTTCTGGTTTCACAACAGGGCTCTGAAATTCAGCATACCATATACTTGTAGTGATGAAGAAGAAGAGAAGAGATTGGATTTATACCCCGCCGTTCACTCAGAGTCTCAGAGCGGCTTACAAACTCCTTTCCCTTCCCCTCCCCACAGCAGGCACCCTGTGAGGTAGGTGGGGCTGAGAGAGCTCTGACAGAAACGGCTCTTTTTCGAGAACACCTCTTGACAGAACTATGGCTTGCCCAAGGTCATCCAGCCAGGTGCAAGTGGAGGAGTGGGGAATCAAACCCAGTTCTCCCAGGTTAGAGTCCGCGCACTTAACCACTACACCAAACTGGCTGTGTGGTGGTTCTTCGGTGCCACAGTATTCTGAGTTGCTGACTTCAGGAAGCTTGTTGCTTTTACCTACAACATTTACCCCCTAAGTAAATTCAGCCAACTCAGAACCTCTGTCTCTTTTTGAGAATCAGCAGTTGGACCTACATCTGACAATAGCACTACAGATGATTAGAATTTCAACAGCCAATCCACATACAAAAGAACCTCCTCAGGAAACAGAAACCTCCTCAGGAAACAATCCATATAACAAAAGAACCTCCTCACAAAAGCTCCTCCATTAGCATGTTCATAGCCTGGGGAACTCCTACACGATAAAGACTCAGCCCCGCCCCACCTTCTGGAGTAGATATAAATTACCTGCCTACCATTTTTCTTCTCACCTTGACACACACAGAGAGTACTCAATCTTTCTGTGTTATACCTCTGAGGATGCCAGTCACAGCTACTGGCAAAATGTCGTTCTACAATGCCAAGACCACGGCCACACAACCTGGGAAATCTACAACAGCATTCTAACACATTGGGGTACTCCCTCCCAGGAATGTGGTTGGTCTTTCTGTCTCCAAGGGGGTGGGGGTGCTCAACTTCCTAAATTCAGTGCATACTATTGTAAGTTAGCCAGTAGTGATCCTGACAAGAAGAAGAACTTGGGTGGGTCCAGAATGTCCTCCTTGCCCTCAAACAGAAGTCCTAAGTTCCACTCCTGATTAAGGGGCGGAGGACATTCTGACACACATTTCAGATGTTACCAAGTCAAATTTGCAGTGGTGCTAACCTCCGACAGAGGTTTGAAGGGAGGACGGGAGAGAGTCTGTAGAGTGCCGTGCAGGCACCAAGGCAGAAAACGGTGGATAACCAGAGGATGCTTGAAAGAAGCCCTGTTCAAGAATCTCTTGGCTCTAAGGCTTTTCTTGAGTGAGAAATCTCGAGCTGGTGGTAGGACTGGTACTAATGCTGCCATGTGCCACCTGATGAAGTCAAGAAACAGTTTAACAAAGCCAGACTGATACCTAGAGAAAACCTGTTGCAAGACAAGGCCTCAAAGAGACAATAACAAACACCACTAGTGGTCACATACAGCTCTCAACTCAAAACAGTTCAATGCATCATCAGTGACTTACAACCACTCTTTCACAAGTACTGTGGGGCAAACCTTTTCTAGCACAGAGATGCTCCCCCCCCCCAATCTCAAACAACTCCTCAGCCACAATAATACAACATCTACTTTAAGCATGGAAACTGGTACCTGAGCTTGCAACCAACCCATGTGCCAACTTTGCTGCCACATACACCCAGACAACACAATCACTGGACCTAACAACATCCAACTGCACCATCTCAGACTCATTCACTTTCTTATCTTCTAACACTGTATATGCCTTTAAATACCAAAAATGCCCTTGAGTTCTCTACATAGGGCAAACGGGACAAAACTTGTGTCAAAGGATAAATGGACACAAATCTGTCAACAAGAATCACAAGGCTGAGAAACCTGTAGGAGAACACTTCAGCCTTCCAGGAGATTCAGTGGGTGACCTCAGAGTAGCTGTTTTATTGCAAAGGAATTTCAGAAACCGACTGGAATGGGAAATTGCTGAATTAGAAGTTATTACATCACTTAGGATAATAGAACCACCAGGGCTTAACAGAGATATTGGCTTCTTATCTCACTACACACACTAAGTCACCCTGTTCTTATACCCAGAAATTAAACTTTGTTAGTCTTTTTTTAATTAAAAAAGGATTTTATTAATTTTCGAAAAGAAAAGGGAAAGCAAAAAACACACATAAACTTTGTTAGTCTTATAGAGGCCACTGGACTCCAACTTGGTTCTCACATGTGTTGTTAACTCCTTTATTATTTGTATGCCAACTTGCTGCTATTTACATATCGTACTATATGTGTTATTCCAATCTTAGCTATATTTATCGCTCAGTTACTTATGCATCTTGACTCTAATCAGCTATTCCTGGCAACTACCCCCCACCAGCATGTAATATTTGAGGAAATCTGTTTCAGTGTATGTGAAGAGGCGTGCACACACTGAGTCTCTGTTCTCCCATGTACAGAGTTGAGCTTGGTTTGTCTGGGGGTACTGCTGGACTCTAGCTTCATTCTCACCTTTTTTTGTTAACTCTTTTATTTATGTGCTAATTTGCTGCTATCCATTGATTTTACTGGGCAAACCCGATCCAATTTCAGCTTTGCATATGCATCTTGGCTCTGAGTGGCCCCTCCTAACGGCTACCCCTCCACCCTCTTTTTCCCTGTAAGTAACCCTTGAGCAGATTTTATTCCATTTGTCTGAAAAAGTGTATTTTGCATATAGCTTACACTTTGAATAAAGCTTTGTTGGTTTTGAAGGTGCCACTGGACTCGAACTTTGTTCTGCTGCTTCAGAACCAACATGGCGACCCCCCCCTGAATTTCTAAACCCGTAAGTGTATGATGATTTTTTTTAGCTACACCCTTCCCACTTCCTGGCCACTGTGCTTACCTTCAGGTTAAGGACACAGTAGAATAGTGTCTTACATTAATTTCTTTTTCCACTACATTCTCTTGTCATCCCTGGGTGTTTATGCACACTATCATTTTGGTGCCAAAAGGCATTCTCCAGTGTCCTCCTTTTCTGTAGAATGATGACATGTGGCTCCCCCCCACACACACACTTGCTGCTTCTGGGCTCTCTGACATGTGACTTTGCAGGGTGTTGGGTGTTGTTAGCAGATGACATTTTGCTTAGGTGCAAGTGCTTATTTCATTTTTGCTCTCGGGTTTTATTTAGAACCCTTAGAGCTCTTTGTGGAGATTGCTGCTTTGCCCTTGGAAAGGAATTAATGTACCATATTGTTCTGCTGTGTGACTTTTTTTAAAGGGTTTTACCTTTAAACACTCTCTGTGTATATAAACTTGGTAGTTTTCTGCTGTCACCAGGAATTAAAAATTCTAATACTCTCTCTTTTGGTCGTATGACTTAGGGTCTGGGCACTTCAGAGGACTATGTGGCCCTGAGGAAGTACTGTGCTGGTGTCTGGGATAAGTTTAAACAAAAAATTGAGCCAGTTTGGTATAGTGGTTAAGTGCGCGGACTCTGATCTGGGAGAACCAGGTTTGATTCTCCACTCCTCCACTTGCACCAGCTGGATGACCTTGGGCAAGCCATAGTTCTGGCACAGCTGTTCTTGAAAAAGAGCAGTTTCTGTCAGAGCTTTCTCAGCCCCACCTACCTCACAGGGTGTCTGTTGTGGGAAGGGGAAGGGAAAGGTGATTGTAAGCCGCTCTGAGTGGGGTATAAATCCAATGTCTTCTCTAGTTCTTCTTAATAAAGAACAAAATAGGTTTCTGGTTAATTTGAACAGTTGCTGAAGAGGGGAACTTGTAAATATAAATGGCAAAGCTTGGTCCCACAAACAGTCTCTCAAACTCCACTCTGACAGGCTTATACACTCATATATATATATATAGCGCCACACAGGCTAGTCTCTTTGTCTTATTCACACTGAATAGAATCAACTGTCTTAGTCATACAGACTAAACTGTTGGTCTTATTCACACAGAATTAGACTCAGAATTCCATAGTCACACAGACTATATTCTCTCTTCAAGCTTTACACACAGAATCCTTCATTACTCTCAGTCACACAAACTCTCTTCAGAACTCTTCCATACTTGTCTCTCCCATATCACAGAATTTCCTCCTAGACAGACACACACAGATTCCTCTCAGACACCCCTCCTCCCACACTCTCAGTCATCAGCCAATCACAATACACTTGTGTGGAATTTCTGTCCACACACAATCACTCTTCTCATATTACTGCAGTCAAACTAAACATTTAAAGGAACACACACACCAAAACATGGAATCATTACATGCTGTGTCCTTAACGTAAAGCTGAACACCATGGGTTAGAGGTGGGAAGAGTGTAGCTAAAAATAACTAAAAAGTCAATAACTAAAAATGTAAACCATCGAATGAGCGTTTCTGGAATGTTTAGTTCATAAATAACTATTTTAGTGGAAAAAGCGAAACCTTCTTTGCTACGCTGGTAGCCATGACAAAGGTATTCAGTGGACTAGTGATATGATCTAAAGAGGACTAAAGAGCAGCCAGGAAAGGTGTGGGTGGTTGAAAGGGAGGGAGGAAAACAAAATTGTATTGTGGCTGACACTTTGAAGACTGTGCTTCTTGGGTAAAAAAAAATGTCTTCCTGATTCTTGAACCCAGATGTGGCTTTGCCAACTTGCCCCTGTTGCTGTGAGATCTCAGAAACAAACACAGAATGCAAGCGTTGGGACTGCTGGTATCTGGCTTGAATAATGACTTGCCCTTTTGATCCTTGTTTTACTGTTTCTTCCTGTTAAAGGGTGAAGATGTGAACCGGACTCTGGAAGGTGGGCGGAAACCTCTTCACTACGCGGCGGATTGCGGACAGCTGGAGATCCTGGAGTTCCTTCTACTGAAGGGAGCGGATGTTAATGTACGTTGACTGAAATCAGTCGGACCTGGAGAAAAACTCTTATGTGGATGACTAACTGGGGACAGGGTATTCTAGAGATTGGTCTTGTGTGGTAGAGGCTCCACTGCCTTGGATCTTCTCATTCGTCCCGAGTTTTACAGGCATTTGTGTCATTTCAAAACTTGGTATACTCAAGGAGAGGGTGGAATGAGTGTATACGCAGTGAGCAACAACGGTCTTTGAAGCCCCTTGGTGGTTTTAAGAGCAGCTCAGTCTCCAGCCTTTCGTAACTGGCTTAGTCCTCTTGGTGACTGAAAAGAACTTATTGGGTTAATCTGGGTGACTCCAGTTAGTTTGATTCAACAGCACATCAAACAAAGCTGCGTGAACGCCTGTTCCTCCTCTCCTTCTGTGGTGTTGCAGAGTAGATGCATTGCCACAGTGGCTCGTATCAGACCAAGAACAGAATAAGTCGATCTGCTTCATCATTAGGATGTCAGTGTGTAAATAAATGGGTCCCGTATTCTTGAGGTACTGTTTGTAGGATATCAGCAGCTTGCATGCAGCCCCATATTTTAAGCCTTTAGGGCAATTTCAGGGTTTTTTTTTTCTTTTTTAAATCCCTGGAGGAATATGTTTTATTTTGCAAAACTACAAAATCTCTGATCATCTTATTCTTCGCTTCAAAAGGCCACTTTCCAAGTCCTTCTGCCTTTACTTCGGCTTTCTGTCTCTGAAATCGTATACCACTCTGGCAGGTCCTGCACCTTTTCTGCCGCAGAGTCCTCTTCCGTTCCCGAGGTAACAGAGTCACTAGACTTCGTTTCTTCCTCTTTGGACTCTTCCTCTTCCCCCAGCTGTCGTCTCAAAAATTCTTTAGCTTTAAAAGTGGAGTCTATCTTCTCTCTTCTATTGTTGATTTTAAAGATGACACCTTCCGGAACAGCCCATCTGTACGATATCCCATTTGTTTGAAGAAAAGAAATTAGATCCTTGTAGTTTTTTCTCTTTTGTCTGATTTCAAATGGAATGTCCTTTAACATTTTGATGATTACATTTCCCATTTTCAGTGGAGTTGCTGAGGTTGCTTTTAAAATGGTGTCCCTAGTTTGTCTTCTTACAAACTTGACCACTATTTCTCCAAGTAGACTATTTTTTTTAATGTTGTTGGAGTATGCCCTATAGGCTACTTCCATTTCGTTTACAAGTTCATCCGCTGTTAAGCCTACTACTGGAGCGATAAGTTCACTGAGCACCTTCTTCAAATCTTCTCGATCTGTTTCAGGAACCCCCTGAAACCTGAGAGCCATGTTAGCTTTTTCCATCTGTAGCTGTAAAACTCGGTTCTCTTGGCAATTCTGCCTCGTTTCCAACTCTCCCATCCTTTTCTTCAACTTCTTGCTTGTGGTGTCTATTTCTTTCATTTACTTGTTTGCCTGCTCCACTTTTTTCTCTGTTTTCTTCAGCTGGAGCTGCTGCGGAGTAAAATTTTTGTTCATCACAGTCAATTGCTGGTTAATACCATTGAGTTGTTCAACCACCAGCTTAAGCATATCCACCAGGAGTTTGATGACATCTGTTCCCTCTTCCGGTCTCAGGCTCTGCCCGCCCAGCTTCGTCTTAAACTTTCTCTGCTGGGCCGCCATCTTTCCCGTTTTGTTTACAGTTTCTACCGCTCCCTCAAAACTTGGAAAACTCGCCAAACGACTTTGCGATTCAGATAAGTCTCTCAAAACACTTTTGGTTTAGTTCCTCCCCTCACCCCCTTCGTGTCCGTTTACCGCTCTCGCAAAAGAGGCGTCCCTCTTTGCAATCTCTGTTTTCGATCGTGGGGGGGGGAATCACTTTTCAAACTACTACGTTCATTGTCGGCCAATTTATCTGACCGTGCTAAATTTCACGCCGTTCCGCTCGATCTCCAGCGCTTGTCCCGGTCAGTCCAGCTTGTGCCCAAGGGCCACTCAGTGACTGGTCCTTCGGGGCGGAGGGGAGCCTTAATTTTCCGGCATTACGCCATCGAAGAGGCTACCCCTCAAAAGCCCCCTGGCCTGGAGCCTATCGCAAAGGCTCTGCGGGGGTGTCACCCCACCAGGCCGCTGGTGTGCGATTCACCCTCCTCTGTTGTGAGGAGAGCATCCGCCATCACTGTTCCGTCGACCGGAAGTCACGGCAATATCAGTTTTCAGTGTGCGGTAGGCGGTGTGATTTCCACAAGTTCCCTTTCACTGCAAATCCTCACTTTGTCCCCATGACTGTTTCTGAAGGTGGATTCTTTGTAAGGGTAAAGGTTTCCCTTGCTCGAAAGCCAGTTGAATCTGATTCTAGGGAGTGGTGCTCATCTCCGTTCCCAAGCCGAAGAGCCAGCGCTGTCTAAAGATGTTTCCATGGTCATGTGGCCGGCATGACTAGACTCCAAGGCACACGGAACGCTGTTACCTTCCCACCAAAGTGGTACCTATTTGTCTACTTGCAATTTCTTGCTTTCGGACTGCTAGGTTAGCAGGACCTGGGGCCACAAGACGGGAGCTCACTCCATCACGCGGCACTCGGGTCTCGAACTACAGACCTTCCGGTCTGCATCTCGGCGTCTTAACCTCTGAGCCACCGTGGCCCCTTTGCCCCCCCCCAAAAAAAAGAAGAACAGAGTTTCTGGAAGTTCAATGAGCTTCAGCAGCTGGAAGGAGGAATTAGTGGGAATTTCTGTCCACTCTACAAAAACCTTAAAACTTCAGAATGTGTACTCAGATACAGGGCACTGTTTTATTTGGATTAAGTTCTTCCATGCCAACTCATCATAACCATCATGACATTAGTAGCGCATTATTAAAGCAGTCTGCTACTCTTGGTGGATGTCTGAACAGTTTTCATCAAGTGCAACCCTCCCCCCTTTTTTTACAGGCTCCAGACAAACACAGTATCACTCCACTCCTTTCAGCAGTCTACGAAGACCACATGGCTTGTGTGAAGCTACTTCTGTCAAAGGTGAGACTTGGAGGGCTGTTCAGTAGTAGGGGTTTGACATGACCATTTTAAGACCTATTTCAAACAGTGAGGACATACTGGTGATTGTTTTGGAGAGCAGGAGTGTGTGGTGGTGGGTTTGGAATAAGGGATACTTGCTAAGAAGACAGCGTTGGTGACAGTAGACATGGGACAACATAACGAATAAGCATGCCAGTTTGAGTGACAGCCTCTGTTTTAGGGAAGCCAGAAGCAATAGCTTTATGAATCCAGAAGACAGTTCACTGTCGTTGGTGCTGAATGGCTTCATCTAGAGCCCATTGAATCAGGTGCAGCTGCTTTCAATTGTGTGGGGTTTGTCTCTGTATTTGGCTGACACCCTGCCCCCCCCCCTTCAGTGCACACAGCAGGGGCTCAGCTTGGCATGAAGAACATCCCAGATGCAATCTCTGGTACATCCCTAAGAGTAGCTGAGATGGATCAGACCTACAGTCCATCTAGTCTAGCTTCCAGTATCGTGCCCAGGTGCCCCCAGAGCCCAAAGCAGCAGTTTCGGTAGACAGGCCATCCATTTTTAGCTCCATTGTAGCTGCTGGAACCGCACGTGCCCATAAATCCCAAGATGATGAAGCTGCTAAAAGAGCTCCTGGTAAGGTTCTGTGCCCCAACTATGATAGGGCCATCACAGACAACTGTGCCAAAGCTTTCATTTGAGAGCCAGTTTGGTGTCGTGGTTAAGTGCGCGGACTCTGGGCCAACCGGGCTTGATTCCCCACTCCACCACTTGCAGCTGCTGGATGACCTTGGGAAAGCTATCGTTCTGCACAGCTGTTCTTGAAAAAGAGCAGTTTCTGTCAGAGCGCTCTCAGCCCCACCTACCTCACAGGGTGTCTGTCATGGGGAGGGGAAGGGGAAGGAGTTTGTAAGCCACTCTGAGACTCCCTTGGGTAGTGAAGGGTGGGGTGCATTTGCTTGATGCCAGACGTTTCCCTTCTGAAAGCTGTTGTTTGAATCTCCCAATGAATTAGTGTTAAACGGCTCCATTAGATTTGGCAACCCTGTATATGTTGTGTGTTTGGAAAGCATTGTGTACCCAGGCGCTGCACTTCTTGCACCTTTTCCCATTGCCCTTTTGAACCGGCTAGTGCCGGGAGGATTGTAGTTTTGCTTAGGGTTAGTGATTGAATTCGAAAGGGAAGCATTTCATCTGCTGCTTGCCAAAATGACAGTGTGGCAGGCTGTATTTTTAAGAGGCTTTAAAGTGCTGTGCCTACACCTAAAGGACCGTTAAGGGTTAATTATTCAAAGAGCCTTGAGTGACAGGTTGCTCCAGGCAATCTGATTGGTTGGCATCAGCTGAGCAAAAAAAGTCTTGTGAGTGCTGTATGCTGAGGAAATTCTGTCAGATTCCTGCCTTAACTGAGAAGAGACATGCACTGAGACCGTCTGAGTCTAGCCCTGACAGAAAAAGGGTTTTGTGTTGACAGAGTCAGATTTCAGCTGTGACTGAATGCAGTCTGAATTCAGCATAAGCTTAGAGCAGTTTGAACATAGAGAATTGGGGGAGGTTTTGCAAGGAGGTTTGGGTAGTCGACGAAGACTCCCATTCAGGCCAAAGGAAAGGGGATAGAACTTCTAGGGAGAGAAGATGATTCCCTGTCCAGTCAAATAGGGAGAGATCTCTGAGGAGTCCAGATCCCTGGTTTGGTGTGATTAGAAACTGCCTGTAGAGACCTTAAAAGTCAGTGAACAACTCAAGAAGAGTACTGGTGTTGCAAGAGAAGGGTTTTAGGTACTGGGCAGAGGATACCAGCCTTCTGGGCACCAAAAAGTCTCAGCAGTTATACAAGTAAAGTGTGCTGGAGTGTTTGGGGAAACACAAGAACGAAAGCCTCTCAGTACAAAGATTTAAAGAAACTGTGAACAATTTAAGAACCTCTCATTAGCCTGATACATAAGAACAAAACTCTGTACTTGCCACTGGTTTTACCTCAGTACTTTCAACCGCTCATTTCACCTGACTTTCCCCCTTGATGTTAAATAAAGCCTTTTGTTATTTTTGATTTTTAAAAGCATCTCGAGTGCCATTTTCAGGGTTTTTCAGTTAAGGGGCGATCCTGTCCCTTCCCTCAGGTTCCTGGGCTGAGCAAATAGCCAAAATATATCTTACTGACAGGGTGGGGCAGCCAAAGTTTCTTCAGGGGAGAAGAAACCATGTTGTCGGGGCTGCTCAGTCAAAGAGGAGACAGAAAAACGGAAAATCTAGGCACTGAGGGAGGGAAGTGGGCAAAGGTTTTGTCAGGCTCCTTCGGAACCTGACAGGTTTGTCATAGACAACAATGAACAGAATTCTAACTAAAAAAATACTGCATTCTGTAAGATTCCTGTCTCTTCAGAACACTTCACAAAGCTTATTTTCCTGCTAAATTTCCCTGACTGTAGATCTACTCCAGTCTAAATTGAGGAAATTTCTACCTTTAAGCCCTAAACCTCTTGCCACCGGGATACCAAGAAGACCACCTGCTCTTATACTTGATCTACCGGCCCTTCAGGTCACCGTTGGGGGTCCTGCTTCACGTCCCCTCATCGTTTGGGTCAACGGTAGGGACAGGGCCCTTTTAGGTGTGGCGCTCCAGGTGTGAAAATCCTTCTCCCAGGTATTTGCGTATAATGGAAGAAGAAGAAGAGATTGGATTTATACCCCGCCCTTCACTACCCAAAGGTTACCTCTGCAGTGAATGCAAGCAGCAGATATTTCACTGCGAAGCAGTTTAGCATTTTCAGTATTTTGTACAGCGACAAGTGGGTGTGAAGGGAATTCTATGCAAGTCTGGTTTTTCTGATGTGGCCAGAATGTCATGTGTAGGCGGAGAGGCCAGGGTTGTTTGAATTCCACCGTTTGCCTTCAGAGAGCTAGCAGTGGGTTTTGAGAGAGATCCTTGCCAAAATGGACCCAAGAGCCTAGGTGTAACATTTATGTTCCTCTTCTGCTTTGGTCCCCTAAGAGAACCAAAGCGTCTTACAGAAATGTCCAAAATGAAGCAAGTGCGTGGAAGCAAAACAGACAACAAGCCAAGCAAGCATACCCTGGGCAGGTCTTGCCTACCTGGCTGTTGTTGGCCGCAGGCTGTGTGCCCTGGGCTAAAAGTCAAGGGCCAGATGCCCCTGGCTGTGCCCAGACTTCTAGTTTGCACATCCAGTTTGGCCCAGTCTGGAAAACCTCAAGAGACTGAGCTGTGGATTTAAATCTGTATTGGGTTTCAGTGGCTGGCAGGGATAGGCTTGGTTTGAATCCGCAGTTTATCTAGCGGCAGCTACAAAATACCCTGAATCCAAGCGTGCTTGAAGTGAGCAAGCGTTTCCATCCTGTCTAAAGACAGAGCGAAACTTTGACGTCACTGCACCTGTCCCTCAGTGGGCGGTTCGGACTGTGGATGTCCTGAAATCCTGGTTCCAAACTTAACCGTGAAACATAGACGAGAATGACTTTCAGGTGCAAAATGGTTTGGGGTAAAGGGTGACGATGTCGTCATGAATTACGGCACTTTCGTAAGATGAGGAATGAGGAAGAGAGTTCTTCCCGGGCAAAAGTGCCGCTGGGGTGTTCCGCTGGGCCTTGCCTGCCGCGTGACAGCAGCTCTTTGCCTCTCTCTACAAAGGCCCAGCAGGAGAGAGTCGAACTCCATCGCACTGGTGTCTCCGTAGGACTGTTTTTTCGAGGCACAGTCTTTCCCCCTCTCTAGCAAGACTGGACGTCTGCTAGGAAAAGGGAGAAGAACGTGGTCTGAAATGCGGCCTGGGCACTTTGCTGATTTTCTTAGGGTTTCTGGAAATTTTTTGAAATGGCAGCACTGTTGTGTGCTTCCTCATTTTGTGAAGGCAGTGAAAACCCGGGGCTGTTACACCTTCCCTTCAAATCAAGGCAGTCAAGCAGATTCAGCAGAGCTGCAATAATGAAGGCTTCTGAAATTAGTCCACATCGTACCCCAGTCTTTAATGATTGGGTGCCATGTTAATCCTTGACAGGTTCCACAGAGAACCCACCAAAGAATCGTGTGTGCGCCACTGCCCAAGACGTTCTAGTTGAGAACCAGCCAGACTGGGAAAACAGCACTCTTGTAAGGCGTCCGATTGGATATCCCTCACCTCCACCTGATAACACGTGCTGGCACAAAGAGATGGCTCCGGACCCCTTGGTGCTAGAGGATCCTCGCTTTGCCCTTTGTGATGGAGACTGAAATGTCTTAATCCGTAAGCCGAAATGGCTCTCGATCTCGGAGGCGAATGTCATTCTTCCCAAGAAATCCAAAGCACTCTGTGCTCTAGCTGCATCCCCACCTGCATGCCCCTTCGGAATGAGATTTGATTCACTCTTTTAGTGTTGCATTTAGAAACAAAAAGAATTCGGTACCACAGACTCGGTGGTCACAGGGTGGGCCGCAGTTCCTGCCCAGGAAAGGCGAGTGGTTTAGACAGGTCTCTTCACCAGCACTTTGCAAGGTAGCTTTCTTGGGGACATTCACTTATAAGGCTTTGTGTTATGCTAAGGTTTGATTGCTTTGGAGTTGCCGGTAGAAACAGCACCTGGATGCTCTTACTCAAAGATGTGGGCAAAATTTGGGCCACCTCAACTTTCCCAATAAGAGTTGCTCTGGCTTCACGTCAAGATCTGTGATAGCCTCCAAGATCAGGGTTTCTGTGCACATTTATAGTACTGAGCGTACCTTTTCCCATGTTTAAAGCTTTTACTCTCCATGAAAAATCCAGCAGTTGATTCCCTGTTCCCAAAAGAGAGAATATTACCTAGTAATCGCAACTCCAGTTGGGCTGCATTTCTCTCTCACAGCCACGGATCCCACTGATAAGATTCGAGCAAAGGAGCCGCTGTGAGGGGAACAACGAGTTGTTTAATGAAAAGTCTTAAAAATCGAGCCCTGCAATCGCTCTCTGCCGCCGGCGCTGGACTGCAGTGGAGCAAGCTGGATGTGTTTGGTCTTTGTAAGCCTGTTTCTGTCTTAATC